CCTGAAGTGGCAAAGCAGCCCCAAACCATGATGCTCCCTCTGCCATGTTTTACAGTGGGGATGAGGTTTTGATGTTGGTGTGCTGTGCCTTTTTTTCTCCACACATAGTGTTGTGTGTTCTTTCCAAACAACTCAATCTTGGTTTCATCTGTCCACAGTATATTTTGCCAGTAGTGCTGTGGAACATCCAGGTGCTCTTTTGCAAACTTCAAACGTGCTGCAATATTCTTTTTGGACAGCAATGGTTTCCTCCGTGGTGTCCTTCCATGTACTCCATTCTTGTTTAATGTTTTCCTTATTGTAGATGTGTCAACAAAAATGTTAGCATGTGCCAGAGATTTCTGTAGGTCTTTAGCTGACACTCTGGGATTCTTCTTTACCTCATGCAGCATTCTGCGTTGTGCTTTTGCAGTCATTTATACAGGACAACCACGCCTAGGGAGAGTAGCAACAGTGCTAAACTTTCTCCATTTGTAGACAGTCTGTCTTACCGTGGACACATGAACATCAAGGCTTTTGGAGATACTTTTGTAACCCTTTCCAGCTTCATGTAAGTCAACAATTCTGGATCGTAGGTCTTCTAAGAGCTCCCTTCTGCGAGGCATGGTTCACATCAGACAGTGCTTCTTGAAACCAGTAAACCCAAAACAGGTGTGTGTTTTTTAAGGGCAGGACAGCTGTCAGCAACACATCCAATATCATCACACTGATTGGAGTCAAGGTTGGCTCACTCCTGGCTCCAATTAGCTCTGGGAGAAGTCATTAAACTAGGGTCTCACATACTTTTTCCTCCCTGCACTGTGAATGTTTACATGTTATGTGCAATCAAACCATGGCAACATCTAATGTTTGTGTAGTATTATGTTCAGCAGACTGTGTTCTTCTATTGTTGTGACTTAGATGACGTTCAGAGCACATTTTATGCCCAATTCATGCAAAACTCCACGTAATCCCAAGGGGTTCACATACTTTTTCTTGCAACTGTATATTGCTTAGTTCCTCAGCTTCCCATCAGCTTCCTGGCAACAATCCTCCTTTCTTTGAACAGGGTTAGCTTCTTGAACACCATCAGCTTCACTCAACTGAATTTCTGATTACGGAGGGCTATCCTCACATCTGGATGGCATCGGATTCTCAGATCACACAGCCCCTCTTCTCTCTCTCAAGCATGGCTGTTCTCCTCTCCTTTTCCTGTTCACTTCCCAAGTGTAAAACCCCACCCCTTCATGAATATAGAAATCTCTATGCAGTCTGAGGCTGTGTTAGAAAAAACAGTGACATCTTGTGGCTAAACTGCAGAATGTCAGTCAGAACGTTTTTAATTTACTTCAATCAGTGTTCAAACAATGAAAGCGGTTTCCCCATCTCACATATACGTGGCATGGTATGCCCAGCCTATCCATGGGCGTTTTAATGCCAGTTGAAGTTGGCCTGTGACATGCGTCTCAACCATCACTACTATGTCTGCTCGGTGAACTTTAAGGCAGTTAAATATGGTTGATCGTTTGAGTTTATCACGAATCCCGAGGACATTCCATGTGAGAAACTTCACCGGAGTCATGAGGTATTATGTATCATGGATCCGTGGGCAGCCAGTAGCAGAACCACCATGGCTGAAACATTATAAAGAACATCCTGGACACAGAGAGGTATACATAGTGCTAATACGTAGCATGTTATAAAGTACCAACAGGTCTGATAAATGCAGACTATAACAAACATAAGTACAAATCTAAATATTTCCCCTTCCCCACCCAACTTGGTGGGGACATGTATCCCATAACAAACTATCATAAAAACACAGTCCAAAGGAGACAAACTCTCGCTGTAGAGATGTGTGGGCAGTAGAACACAAGGTGCTAGTGTCAACATGAGGCAAATCAGAAAAAATCTGGTTAGATGTGAGAGTATCCTCTCAAAGATGTAAATTCCAGAGTAGTAGGCCCCCCATGTGGAGAAGGAGGTTCTCCTGCCTGTACTCCAGTCTTGGGTAGCTTGTGGTGGGAATAAGAAGAGCGCAGAGGGAGGGAAAAAAATGTTGGGGTGTCAGTGTCAAAGGAGCAGGATAGGGACAATGATACCAGGGCCAAAATAAGGGAAGAGAAATAATAATAGGGGAGAGGAAGGGGAAGGAGCACAGTGAGGTACTCGTTGGTGTTCTGGGCTATAGGGAAAAAAGATAGGGACCCAGGAGAGAGTCATATCCAGCTTCAAGCAGGGAGGTCAGAGCCCCCTTCTGACCCCTCAGTAATGAGGGAGACATACTCACGACTGCAGTAAAATAGGAACGGGGTCAAGAGGGGTGGCTGTGATGATCCTCATGTTGGACGAGCCAGGATGAGGCTGTCTTCGGATCCCCGAAAAAGTGCACCTGATCTTCACCCACCACCTGAAGGCGGGCAGGGAAAATCATGGCATATTTCAAGTGTTTAGTGTGAAGGTGCCGTTTGACTTCCATGAAGCTGGATCATTGCCGTTGCATCTCAGACGAGAAGTCAGAGAACACCGATATTTTAACATTCTGGTAGGGGATGCTGCCTCTCTTTCTAATCAGCCAAAGTACAGTGTCTCGGTCCCTAAGTTAAGGAGTTTTGCAATGAAAGTTCGGGGAGGTGCTCCCTGCGGGGGCTGGCGGGCTGGCATATGATGTGCTCATTCCACTACTAGGGTGGACAAGAAGGCTTCCCTGCCAAAAGCAGTGATGAGCAGGTTTTCCAAGAACGTGGCCGGGTCCCGGCCCTCTGAGCCCTCAGGGAGGCCAATAAAGTGGAGGTTACATCGACAGGACCGGCTCTCCAGGTCATCCTGTTTATGGGCTGGTTGTTGCAGCTGACGCTGCATGGACTCGGAGGTGTGCCATGAAGGGTGGAGAGTGTCCTCCGTTTGGCTGATACGGGCCTCGGTCTCAGTGACCCAGTCACGGAGCTTGTGCATGTTTTGGCGAATGAGAGATATGTCGAACTTCGCCTCTTCTATTTTCATCGTCATTGTATATTTCCTCAAGCACTCTCGCCGTATCTGCGGTTGTAGAGTCCGAGGCAGGGGAGGCGCCATCTTCCTCCAGAGGGCCCCTCTCCTGTCTCCGAAACTTATCCAAAGAGGGCGTAACAGAGGCAGCCTTCCGAGGGGGAGACATGGTCCCCGATGAATACAAGGCTCCAGGTGAGTTCGAAAGATCACGGAAGCAACAAGAGACACTCAGGATATTGTGTCAGGATAAAGTCGGGAACGGAGCTCAGTACCCACGAGTCATACTCCATCTTCGTCCAGGCCATGCCTCCCAGGGCCAGGCAAGTTTGGACAGCTTTTTTCCCTTAATAAATGAAATCACCATTTAAAAACTGCATTTTGTATTTCCTGGGGTTATTATCTTTGTGTAATATTAAACTTTGTTTGACGCCCTGAATCATTTAAGTGTGCAAAAAAAAAAAAAAAAATAATCAGGAACATGGCAAATACTTTTTCACATCAGTGTATATCCAGTTTTTTTTTTGGCCATCTGTGTCCCACTGGGGAGATTTACCTTTGTTTCCTGTCACATAGTCAAGACATAGTCAAGGAAAAGAGTGAAAATCACAGCTAATTAAGAGAATCAGTTAGGGCCCCCCAGGTCACCGGAACAAGTGTCCCCATTGGAAGGTCTTCCTCCTATTACACTTCCTACCACTCCATCCCCCACAGCTTTTCCTCCCGTACAATTATCCCCTCTCTCCTAGATTGTAAGCTCCAAGGAGCAGGGCCCTCGAACCCCTCGTGTATCGCATTGTATTGTTATTGTACTGTCTCATGTATTGTCCCCCATTGTAATGTACAGCGCTGAGCAAACTGTTGGTGCTATATAAATACTGTATAATAATAATAATATTACTATTCTGGGGACAACTCAAAATTTGGGATTTTCTTTTACTTTCACCTTTGATGAGAAAAGTAAACAAGACAAACAGGGTGAATCTCCCTAATGGGGACACAGACAGCAACAAAAACTGACGGGTGTTTCAATCCCTCTCTGCTCTATCCAAAACTAAAAAAAGGTTTTGCTTTTAGTTACACTTTAACCACCTCCCTCCAGCCCGCCATATAAGGAAATGATGGGAGGGTGGAGGTTATCTCATTCTGGGAGGACGTTATATGACGCCCTCCCACTCTAACTGCGCATGCATGTCCCCAGAGGCGCTTGGGGGTGCGCTGTGTCCCTGGGATACAGTGGATCACGGACCAGAGTAAAGAGCCGATGACGTCAGCTCTGTCATGTGATAAGCTGTGTCTAATCACAGCTGATCACATGTAAACAAGGAAATGCCGGTTATTGGCAATCCTCTCCTCCTGCTGACAGTTCATGAGGACATGAGAGCAGGTAAGCGGTATTCCTCAGAGGGGACAACTACACTTATCATCAGGGCACTGATGATCAGTGCCCTGATGATCAGTGTAGTCCCATCAGTGCCACCTGTCAGTGCTCATCAATGCCACCTGTCAGTGCCCATCAATGCCACACACCAGTGCCCATCAGTGGACATCAATGCCACACACCAGTGCCCATCAGTGCCCATCAATGCCACACACCAGTGCCCATCAGTGGACATCAATGCCACACACCAGTGCCCATCAGTGCCCATCAATGCCACACACCAGTGCCCATCAGTGCCCATCAATGCCACACACCAGTGCCCATCAGTGGACATCAATGTCACATATCATTGCCTACCAGTGCACATCAATGCCACATATCAGTGCCCATCAGAGCTGCCTTTCAGTGCTGCCTATCAGAGCCAGTCAGTGCTGCCTATCAGTGCCAGTCAGTGTTGCCTGTTAGTGCCAGTCAGTGCCACCTATCAGTGCCCATCAGTTCCGACTATCAGTGCCTGTCAGTGCCGCCTAACAGTTCCAATCAGTGCCGCCTAATAGTTCCAATCAGTGCCAGTCAGTGCCACCTATCAGTGCCATATATGAGTGCTGCCTCTTCAGTGCCCATCAGTGATGCCTGTCAATGCCCACAAGTGATGTCTATCAATGCCTATCAGTGCCACCTACCAGTGCCTCCTCATCAGTGCCACCTATCAGTGCCCATTAGTGCTGCCTAACAATTCCAATCAGTGCCGCCTAACAGTTCCAATCAGTGCCATATATGAGTGTTGCCTTTCAGTGCCCATCAGTGATGCCTGTCAATGCCCACAAGTGATGTCTGTCAATGCCCATCAGTGCCACCTACCAGTGCCTCCTCATCAGTGCCCATCAGTGCAGCCTATCAATGCCCATCACTGCAGCCTCATTAGCGCACATCAGTGAAGGAGAAAAATTACTTATTTACAAAATGTTATAACAGAACCTTTTTTTTCAGAATTTTCAGTCTTTTTTAGTTTGTTTTGCAAGAAAAAAAAAAAAAACCCAGTGGTGATTAAATACCACCAAAAGAAAGCTCTATCTGTCTCAAAAAAAAAATCATAAAAATGTGGTTTGGGTACAGTGTTGCATGACCACACAATTGTCATTCAATGTGCGACAGCACTGAAAGCTGAAAATTGGCCTGGGCAGGAAGAGGGTAAAAGTGCCCGGTAGGCAAGGGGTTAAGAACCTCTTCTCTAAACCAGCCTTGTTCAACCAGAGTGCCTAGGCATCCTGGGGAGCCTTCAGGTTTCTTCAGGGGCGCCCTGGCAAAATGTCTAAAATTTGCCCAAAAACTTTATACAAGCCAGCGGGTGGATCAAGCCTGTTTCTTAGTTACTTAGTTCCAGGGTCCTAACAACCAAAGATGTCATCAGTTGATCAGAAGGACATTGGGCCCCTACACAGCATCCTTGTTTGCCCTGTTGCATGGTCACATTAGCTGAGTGAGGGAGAGAAACTGAAGGTGGGGAGAAACATTAGAACACTAGTCAGTACCAGCTTGCAAAGGTATATCTGCTTTGGAAGAATAAATCACCTCTAATGTTGGGTGTCCTACATGTGTCAATGTTGCTGCATTATAGGAAAAACCATTATTTTTATTTTTCTCCATTTTAGAATGGGGTGCCTCAACATCGTGTATAGTTTTAAAGGGTGCCTGACTGAAAACAAGTTGAGAAACACTGCCCTAAACTATAGAAAAACTTTGGCAGAGCAATCTCTCTCTTTCCTTTGGAATATTACTTGCACCTTAGAAAGAGAGAATAGACACCGAAAGCATCTCCTGAAAATGTAAAGATCATCCAATGGAACTCCCTACCCCAATCTGTCCGGCTGACTCCTAATCTATCCACCTTTAGACAATCCATGAAAACTCTTCTCTTTAAAGAAGGCTATTCTGTTTCTAACTAGTAAACTGCCATTATTTTCCTAGATTGTAAGCTCGAAAGAGCAGGGCCCTTGATCCCCTCATGTTTTGCATTGTATTGGTATTGTTCTGTCACATGTTCTGTCTCCCTTTGTAATGTACAGCGCTGAGCGAACTATTGGCGCTTTATAAATACTGTATAATAATAATAATAATAATAATTTATTTCCTCCATCAGCCCATCCCCCCCACAGCTATTACCTTTTGTATCACTCAACCCTTTCTCCTAGATTGTAAGCTCTAACGAGTTGGTCCTCTGTTTCCTCTTGTACCAAATTGTAATGTCTACCTTCATTTTGTAAAGCGCTGAGCAAACTGTTGGTGCTATATAAAACCTGTATAATAATAATAATAATAATAATAAAGTGCGGGTGCAAATACACAAAGTATCATGGACAGGACTCAGCCCTGGATCAGCTCATTGACAAGACCAAAAGTGACATCTAGTGTCTGAAATAAGCATTACAGTATTCCACTGACATTCAAAAATGATACTGTCATTTCTCATAGGTTACCCTCTCCAGTGACATCACTGCTTTCTTTCTGTCCGTAACGTTCTAGACAGCACAAGATGTGACATGTGAATGTAAGTTCAGACGTTATGGCCCTAATTTTCTGTTCCACTTGCCACGAGACAAACAGAAGTGAGCTAGAAGTGCTGGTGGGTGTCATTAGACCTTGTAGGCAGAGCACTTAACAGGGTTGGGGGAATCCCATTTGCAAGCAGGGGCGGACTTACAACTCATGGGGCCCCCGGGCAATAGGGGATCATGGGGCCCCTGTGTCCTTGCCCAAACTCAAAAAGCCTACGAAAAAAGTACCAGGGGCATCTCATGGGGCCCCCTACTGACCCCGGTTCCTCGGGCAGTGCCCGAGTTTCCAAATGGTCAGTCCGCCCCTGTTTGCAAGGTAAGCAATGCACCTAAAACAGCTGACAGTCAAGGTGTATAATTGAAAGCATATACAGTGTATTACTTGGTCCTTTAAATGATCAAGCAGGCCCATGGATTGGTGTGACTGCATCTTAAATCATTTATTAATGTGCCCATTCCTGGTTTTATTTTTATTTATTTCAGGTACTTATATAGTGCTGTCAATTTACGCAGTGCTTTACATATATATTGTACATTCACGTCAGTCCCTAACCCTCAAGGGATGTACAATCTAAGGTCCCTAACTCACATTCATACATACACATACTAGGGACAATTTAGACAGGATCCAATTAACCTACCAGCATGTCTTTGGAGTGTGGGAGGAAACCGGAGTACCCGGAGGAAACCCACGCAGGTACAGGGAGAACATGCAAACTCCAGGCAGGTGGTGCCATGGCTGGGATTCAAACCATCAACCCTAGTACTGCCAGATGGAAGTGCGAACCATTTAGTCACTGTGCTTGCCCAGGAGTTTGGAACAGAATGCTTATGTTCATGGAGTCTTTGGAGTATAAAATTAAAAACGCACAATACAGTCAAATCTGAAAATCAAAAGCCCATTTTAAAATGATCCATTGGAGTGGTGCTGCTCCTGCTCTGCAAGAGTCCATTGCTTGTTTATGTCTAGGTGCCACATGGATAGAAGGAAAAGGATCACCCCACAGGCAAGTGAGAGGTGCCACAGAAACATGATTTACGTACCTGATCCTCTGCTTCATTTCACTGCTAGACTTGTCCTTGCAGCATCTTTTCCCAAATGCTCCAGCAGTCTAAGGTTCTCACGTCATCAAGACCAATACGGGGTCCATAGCTCTGCAATGGATGTGATGACACTGAGGGACAGCAGGCAGTAGGTAAGGAAGAAGAGCGAGGAGGTTATGTCATGGATAGAATGTACAGGAGAGGAGTGCATTGGTATGATATTGGTCAATATAAGTAATAAGTATGTGGAGGATAGGATGGCAGACAGTATGTGCAGGAGAGGAGTGCAGAGGATATGATGGCAGGGAGTATGTGCAGGAGAGGAGTGCAGAGGATATGATGGCAGATAGTATGTGCAGGAGAGGAGTGGAGAGGATATGATGGCAGGGAGTATGTGCAGGAGAGGAGTGCGGAGGATATGATGGCAGGGAGTATGTGCAGGAGAGGAGTGCAGAGGATATGATGGCAGATAGTATGTGCAGGAGAGGAGTGGAGAGGATATGATGGCAGGGAGTATGTGCAGGAGAGGAGTGCGGAGGATATGATGGCAGGGAGTATGTGCAGGAGAGGAGTGCGGAGGATATGATGGCAGGCAGTATGTGCAGGAGAGGAGTGCAGAGGATATGATGGCAGGGAGTATGTGCAGGAGAGGAGTGCGAAGGATATGATGGCAGGTGGTATGTACAGGAGAGGAGTGCAGAGGATATGATGGCAGGCAGTATGTGCAGGAGAGGAGTGCAGAGGATATGATGGCAGGGAGTATGTGCAGGAGAGGAGTGCGGAGGATATGATGGCAGGCAGTATGTGCAGGAGAGGAGTGCTGAGGATATGACGGCAGGCAGTATGTGCAGGAGAGGAGTGCAGAGGATACGATGGCAGGCAGTATGTATAGTAGAGGAGTGCAGAGGGATATGATGGCAGGCAGTATGTATAGGAGAGGAGTGTGGAGGAATGATGGCAGGGAGTATGTGCAGGAGAGGAGTGCAGAGGATATGATGGCAGATAGTATGTGCAGGAGAGGAGTGCAGAGGATACGATGGCAGGCAGTATGTATAGTAGAGGAGTGCAGAGGATATGATGGCAGGCAGTATGTATAGGAGAGGAGTGTGGAGGGAATGATGGCAGGCAGTATGTGCAGGAGAGGAGTGCTGAGGATATGACGGCAGGCAGTATGTGCAGGAGAGGAGTGCAGAGGATACGATGGCAGGCAGTATGTATAGTAGAGGAGTGCAGAGGATATGATGGCAGGCAGTATGTATAGGAGAGGAGTGTGGAGGGAATGATGGCAGGGAGTATGTGCAGGAGAGGAGTGCAGAGGATATGATGGCAGACAGTATGTGCAGGAGAGGAGTGCAGAGGATATGATGGCAGGGAGTATGTGCAGGAGAGGAGTGCGGAGGATATGATGGCAGGTGGTATGTGCAGGAAAGGAGTGCAGAGGATATGATGGCAGGCAGTATGTATAGGAGAGGAGTGTGGAGGATATGATGGCAGGCAGTATGTATAGGAGAGGAGTGTGTAGGATATGATGGCAGGCAGTATATGCAGGAGAGGAGTGTGGAGGATATGATGGCAGGCGGTATGTGCAGGAGAGGAGTGTGGAGGATATGATGGCAGGTGGTATGTACAGGAGAGGAGTGTGGAGGATATGATGGCAGGCGGTATGTACAGGAGAGGAGTGCGGAGGATATGATGGCAGGGAGTATGTGCAGGAGAGGAGTGTGGAGGATATGACGGCAGGGAGTATGTGCAGGAGAGGAGTGTGGAGGATATGACGGCAGGCAGTATATGCAGGAGAGGAGTGTGGAGGATATGATGGCAGGCAGTATGTATAGGAGAGGAGTGTGTGGAGGATATGATGGCAGGCGGTATGTGCAGGAGAGGAGTGTGGAGGATATGATGGCAGGCAGTATATGCAGGAGAGGAGGTGTGGAGGATATGATGGCAGGCAGTATGTATAGGAGAGGAGTGTGGAGGATATGATGGCAGGCAGTATGTATAGGAGAGAAGTGTGGAGGATAATGGCAGGCAGTATGTTCAGGAGAGGAGTGTGGAGGATATGATGGCAGGCAGAAGGTATAGGAGAGGAGTGGAGAGGATATGATGGCAGGCAGTATATGCAGGAGAAGAGTGTGGAGGATATGATGGCAGGCAGTATGTGCAGGAGAGGAGTGCGGAGTATACGATGTCAGGTGGTATGTGCAGGAGAGGAGTGTGGAGGATACTGATATTAACCAATATAAATACATGGAGATAAACTGGTGTGAACTGTAGCCACATATAAAAGAACTTAAACTGAAATAGTGAAAACTGGCATATAATAATACATGTGTATTATTATATGTCAGTTTTCACTATTTCAGTTTAAGTTCTTTACACTATATTACCAAAAATATTGGTCGGCCTGCCTTTACACGCACATGAAATTTAATGGCATCCCAGTCTTAGTCCA